ATATATATATATATATATATATATATATATATATATATATATATATATATATATATATATATATATATATATATATATATATATATATATATATATATATATATATATATATATATATATATATATATATATATATATATATATATATATATATATATATATATATATATATATATATATATATATATCACGTATCCTATGAGAAAGATATTTTTATGTGAGAAGATGAAAATGAATTTTAACCATTAAATTTAAAATAAATGGGTGAGAGGAGAGAGAATATTAATTGTGTATATATATATATATATATATATATATATATATATATATATATATATATATATATATATATATATATATATATATATATATATATATATATATATATATATATATATATATATATATATATATATATATATATATATATGGAGCATATCAAATGAGAGTGATTTTAAATGAGAGATGAGAGTAACAAACAACAATCATTAGATCAAATTAATAAGAGAGAGAAATTAATAGTCACATTAATAAATAAGTTTAATCATGATCTAATGGTTGTTGTTTGTTCCTCTCATCTCTCATTTTAAGATTTACTGGTTAAAATCATAACTCTTGGGTTGAATCCAATCTAATGGTTAAAATAGCATTTTACTTAATTAATCATTAAATTGGATTCAATCATAGAGTTATGATTTGGAGTAAGTTAAAAAAAATTACTCTTGAAGTTCATCCCCACTTTTATTTATATATATATATATATATATATATATATATATATATATATATATATATATATATATATATATATATATATATATATATATATATATATATATATATATATATATATATATATATATATATATATATATATATATATATATATATATATATGCAGAGTACATGTGGCTGTTTAGTAGCTTTGCCCATGTCTAGGGGTGTAAGCGGATCAGAAAAAACTGATTAAACCGACAATCTAAACTAATCCAAACGAAAAAAAATGATTTTTTTTATTCGCTTCCAAAACTGAATGGAACCAATTAAAACTGAGGTGGTTTGGTTTGGTTCTCGGTTTAGCTATTTGGATGTCATAATGGGTTGAATAAAAAATTGAGTGGGTAACTATAATCATCAGTTCGGTTCATCGTTTCTCCATCTTTGTTTACGCTTTCGTCCCTTCAACAAAACATTTAACCATAACCAAACTCCAAATATAGAAAGTAGAAATCATAAGTCACAAAATCTTGATCTCACCAAACTACTTCTCACGTGCGAGCATACAAACAACATTTAACTGTTAGAATGTGATCAAATTTTATCCATTCTACCGCGATACAAACAAACGCTTAACCCTCCTTTGTGCAAGCATACAAGCAACATTTAACCGCTAGAATGCGACCTAAATATCGTTCACTAAAATCAACCAACACAAAAACATTTGCTACAAAGAACTATATAGTTTTGAATTCCGCATCAAACTACAGGATACGTAGGAGCGAAATTCAACGTCTCGTCAAGAACTATAATAAAAAATCCAAAAATATATTTTTCTTGCAAAGAACTACGTAGTTTTGAATTTCTCATTGCACCTAAGGATATGTAGGAGCAAGACTCGCAATCTTGTCAAACACCCTAATACAAAACTTATTGTTAGTCCATTTCTTTTTCATTTCAAAACTTCTAATAACTAAGAAACAAATAAATGAAAGCTAACACTCTTACAACGGATGTGAAGGGTATTAATACCTTTCCCTCGCATAATAAACTCCCGAACCTGAATTTAGTTGCGACGATCATTTTCTTTTTATTTTAAGGGTTTTATCAATATTTTCTATTTCTTTTTGAAATAAATAAACTTCAATGACGATTTTACTGTATTTCGAGCATTACGCATGCTTGGGTATTTTTTCACACCGCGACAAAATGGGTTACACAATTTTTTTACAAGACGTGAACTTAAAACCTTATATAACGATATGCATGTAGCGATTATAAATATTAAAGCTGACAATTATTTTAGTTTTTTTGGCTAAGTAGTTTAATGGTTTGAATTTACTCTATTAAAAATAAATAAATGAGATATCACATATTTAAACTCACACTCTTATATTTGATGTTGCTATACAACTATTAATTGAATTGCTTTAACGGAATTTGAAACTGACAATTCTACCAAGAGGGTGATGATAACATTATGTAGATTGGTACACACGCGCATGTTTAGGACAAACAAATAAAATTATCTATATTAATTAATTATCTATATTAATTAATGTGTTTTATAAAGTTACCAATTACTAGCTCAAGGATGGTTGAAGTGATATTGGGTTGTCTAATTTCACGCATTAGTTTTAACTTACGTTTTTTTCTCTTTTTTCTTAATGAGTATGATTAGACCACTTTAATCTAAATTTTTAAGAGTTCTTCAAACTCTAATACAAATTCCAAATTCATATTGATTGAGAACACCTAAATAACTAATTTAAGAAGCATAAATAGAGACACATACATCAAACACAATACAATATAAAAACCAATTATAATTTTAAAAATTGGAAAACAATTACATATGTTTGGTATTAGACACTGACACATTTTCATTATAAATTGTCGGTTCTATTTTTTTAAAAATAATTATATAATGCTTATTATAATTTCAAATAGTTTATATCCAAGACCTAGTTCCCTCCCAAAATCAAATGTAATCATGTAAATTAGCAATAAAGTTGACTATCATTTTCCACTATACAAAGCTAAAGTGATAAATGTAATAATTTTAAGATTGGTTACAAAGGAACATTTTAACCATACAATAATTTTTTCATTAATTAAAGGGTTTTCTCAAGGACTTATAAGTTATATTTAATTAAATATTGATATTCCATTATTAAATAAAATTAATTCAAATTTTTAGTTATTTTCAAAATAAATAAATATGAAAAAATAACCTAATATTTAGATGGTGTACTTCATTTGATAAAGTAACTAACCTCAGTGACTAATGGGGAATGAAATCTAGAAGTAACTTAATAATAATGATTATTAGTTGGATCTTAATCTTCCATATGTAACCTCATGAAAAAGACACTCATGTTTGATTCATCATATCGCTATTGTTTTGACAAGACATAAAGATAATCAAGTTGATGTTAACTAAAACACAAGAAATTTGCATGTGCTTATGTTTTTCCAACCTCTCTCTTAATTGCCCAATTTAGCATGATCAATAACATAGGGTCTTGTTGCTTATTTTTAATCAAATTATTTCTCAAAATGATAACTTTTGCCATTACACTAAGCAAAGATATAGGTGAATATGATATAATGAAATTATGAATTACATCAATTGCCCTAATATCTTGTCAATTAGTTGTCTAAATATTGTAGGATTAGATGTGGAAAAGGCATTGTATTAAGGATAATGCAAAGGTATCTTATAGTTTTCAAGGGCAAATAGATTATGTCTCCCTCTATTTCAAATGTCTATAATTATGATCTTCTAAATATTTTCATTCATGAATTTGACTTCAAAAATTTCACATCACACCTTTTACCTTTACTTGGATATACTTATTAAAGGCTTCCACATGATAAGATAGGTTTTAAAAAATAAATGCTTGATTATAAGAAATATTATGAAGAATATAATTTGTATAACCATTTTTTGACACAACAAAAATAATTTTTTTAGCAAGGATTTCAGTATAAGAGTATTATGGGTATTCTAACTCAATTACAAAAGGATAGAAACAACTCGAAAAAATCAATCAGGATAGGTTAAACCAATTAGAACTTAACTAAGAAAATACAAAAGATCTTAACAAAAATCGTAAAAGTTACAATTGGATGGCATAATATCTCATATTGATGACCACCTCCAAAACAAGATTTTGATGTTCCAAATGAGATCCGAAACATTGGAAGATTCGTTTATGAAAATCATAATGTTCCTCATCTTCCATAAGCTCCAACAAACAGAAAACCACACAACTCCGATCTTCTCAACTTTCACCTTCTTCTTTTTGGCAAACAACACCCAAGATTGAAAGTTACTACAAACTTTCGCATCAATGCCACAGTCGTAGTCAACCCACTCTGAAATAGTCCGCCAAACCATCTTAGGAATACAACAATTGAAAAGGATATGCGAGATAGATTGAATAACCACATTGCAAAAAAAAAACATGATAATTGATCGGGCGGTAAAGCTCCTTTACATCAAAGGAGATCCTTTGTCGGTAACCTATTTAAAAAAACATCTCCAACCAAACACCTTAATTCTGAATGAAACCTTTGTTTTTCACAAAGTATTGAAACAATTGAAACTAATAGCTACGGGACCTTGATTATGCAGACCTGGACATAACAGACCATAACCAGATTTCGTGGAGTAAGCAACTGAAGCATCATTCATTCGGAGCAAGTTGTCTGCAGCATCCTTAATAGGCGAAATGAAAGCTAATTTGTCCATTAGATCCTGCAAACAAGGAAGTACATTCAGCAGAGAAGATGGAGAAATACCAAGATCGCCCTAGATCCAAGAATCTCCAAACCACACACTCATGTCTTCAAGCATTTCCTTCTTCATAGAAATGTAGCGAAACAAATCCAGGTAAACAGTTTGAAGGCTCTCTTCTCCCAACAAAATCGCAGACCAAAAAGGAATCAAAGAACCGCCTCCTAATTTGTAACTGCAGTTCTCCTTAAAAACATTCATTTGACTGTTATTATCCAGAGAACATAAAGTTTTCCACCATATGGGCAGTGTTTGAGCACTCTACAGCAGTCGGAGGTAGTGAAATAATAGGCCATCAAACCATATCCCGCTTTAAGGATATCCAACCACAGACCTTTTTCCCCCCTCAAATATTCTCCATCTCCATTTCAAAATTAAAGAACTGTTGAACTCGTCTACCCTCTTCATGCCAAGTCCACCTTTTCCAAGGGGAAAACACAAATTTTACCCAATGAATTTTTCTAGCACCCTCTACCCCTCCTCAAAGAAAATTATTCTGCATCTTCGTGATTTCTTTGCAAATTGTAACAGGGGCTTTGTAAAAGGAAAGAATGAAGATTGGAAGACTGCTCCATACTGACTTTAACAATGTAATGCGCCCGCCAAGATTTAATATTATGCCTTTCCAATTAGATAGCCTCGCCTTCATCTTCTTAATCAAAAGCTCCCAACCTGAAACCTTCTTAGACTTAAGACCGACAGGCACTTCAAGAAAGTTAAATTTCGCACCTTTAATTCTGCAAGACAAGAAATTTGCAGCATCTTCCAAGAAGTGAATAGAAATGTTAATTCCAATAAGTTTACTCTTCGAAAAATTCAAACCCATCCCAGAGATGACTTTGAAACCTCTAATAATGTGTCGTCAGCGAATTAAAGAATCTTCACACTACAATCCTCATTTACAGCGAAACCAAAAAATTCTCCAACTTCAATAGATTTCCTCACCAATCTAGATAAACCCTCTACAATGATAACGAACAAGAAAGAAGATAGCGGATCTCCCTGGCGAAGGCCCCTACCCACACTAAACTCCCTCATCGGAGATCCACTCACTAAAATGAACATGGAACTGTTTAAAACTAAGGCATCCGTCCATCTAATCCAAAGATCACCAAAACCCAACCTTCTCAACATATATTTTAGAAAGTTCCAACTCACCTTATCGTAAGCCTTTTCTAAATAGACTTTGAAAAGCAAGCATTTCTTCTTCTCCTTAACTGCAAAATCCATAATTTCATTAGCGATCAAGACACCATCCAACAACTACCTCCCTGGAATAAACGCACTCTGGTTTGGATAAACAATTGAGCTAAGGACAATCTTCAATCTACCTGCAAGAAGTTTAGATAATTCTTTGTAAAGGCAGCCTACTAGACAAATTGGTTTATAATCAGATAGGCTCAAAGGATTCTCGCACTTTAGAATCAAAGAAAGAAAAGAAGAAGTTATAGCCTTCGACAAGCACATCTTCGAATGAAACTCGTGGAAGAAGCGATGTATGTCATCTTTAATGAAAGCCCAACATTTCCCCAGAAAAAAGAAGTTATAACCATCGAGCCCAGAACTTTTCAAACCACCACACCCCCAAAAAGCATCCTTGATCTCTGCCTTAGTAAATTTGGCTTCAATAAATTCACACTCAACAACCTTCATCCTACCAAAAGAAATACCATTGGAGTTGGATGGCTATGATCATTCTCCATGAAACATTCTGAGAAGAACCTATGCACTTCTTCCTTGACTTTGCCCACATCCTCTAACAAACCTTTCTGAGAATTAAGGGAACCAATGAAATTCCTACGACATCTCGCTTTCAGGATGTAATGAAAGAATTTGTTGTTGGAATCTCCTTCATTATTCCATTGAATCCTTAATTTTTGAAGCAACATATTCTCCTTAGATTTCAAGTTCTTTCAGAAACGGTTGGTAGATTCTCTCATATTCTCCACCCAATCCTCCATATTGCAGTCTTTATAATTAGCAAGGATGTCATCAACTGCATTAATTCTATTGCAACCTTCCTCAATTTCCAAATTGATCCGACCAAAAGTTTCAATATTCCATTTTCGTAAGCTAGTTTTCAGTAACCTCAACTTTTCTTTGATCACATAATTTCTCCTACCAATGACTTTCGGCTTCTTCCATTATAACTCGACAAAGGGGAGGAAAAGGTTATTATCAAACCAACTATTGTTAAACCTAAACGGTTTAGGGCCCCAGTCGCAACTATTATCCATCAACCATATTGGTAAATGGTAGGAAATGTCCCTCTTGACAATTAATTGGCCTACGATCCCCCACCTACCAATTAACTAATTAGAAACTAAGAAACGATCTATCCTGCTCATAGAAAAACCACTACCACTGTACCAACTGAAAGAGTTTCCTTTACAAGGAAGATCCACCAGATTAGAACTCATTAAGAAATCAGAGAACTCTCTAATATTAGAACTTCTACTACCCAAAGATATGCCTTTTATCTTATTAGGATTTGAAATGGAGTTGAAATCTCCTCCTAAAACCCACTCCCCATCATGATACTTTGACTTGAGAACCAAAAGCACCTTCCACAAATTCCTCATAAGAGCCAAGGGACAAGGAGAATACACAATGACCACATAAATGAACATACCTTTCCACAAAAGTTTAATCCCTAAAAATCTATCTCATTTGAAACTACAGATAATGTTAAAACTACATTCCTTCCACAAAGTGATGATGCCCCCGGACTGCCCGTTAGAGCTAGCGAAGGACCAATCAACCTTCTCTTTATCCCACAAACTCCGAACCAAACAAGATTCGACGTTGGTGAGCTTGGATTCTTGGATCATGAATATATCAGCACGACCCTTAACTATAATCTGGTTAATTCTCTTTCTTTTAACCGGACTACCTCCCCCTCTAATGTTTTGAGATCCTATAATCATTTCACATGATTGGCCATCACCTTTTGTGCTCGTTTCCTTTGAATATCCCTCTTCTCCATATCATTGATCTTTTTTTTTGTAATCCCTTGTCTGAGCCTTTAGAAATGTCCCCCAACTTAGATATCACCTTCCAAACCTTGCTCCCAACATTGGATTCACTGTTATCCCAAAACCGATTATTATAGTGAACGATGTCTGAAACAATTGTTGGCTCACAATACAACATAACACCTGTAGAGAAACTATCAATTTCCTCAGAGACAAAGGTCTTAATGGGTTGAGCCAATACCTGGTGATAGGTGGACTCAAAGGAACTAATAGGTGAAGTTAATGGACCAGCAGTAGAAGGAACGAGGTCCAACAGGATGAAAGTTTTTAGTTTCTTCTCTTTGGGCCTTGTCTTTTTAGTAGACAAATGCCCACCCACCTCGTAAATACTTTTTGTTTTTTGTTCATCAAAATACAGCTTCTGAGATCCCTGCTAGCGCACTTACATAAGCTAGGATTTCAAAGAGAACGTGAAACTCTTGTGCCAGACAGATCTTGAGAAACGAGCGTAGTATTAGAGGACCCACCATTTGAAGGTCTATGACAAGATGCCTCCTTTGCCGCCACTACTTCCACGTCAAAACTACCTTCTAAGACACCACAATAAACTTTAACCAAAGACCTATAACCTCTACAAATACCATTAGACTTGGTACCTATAGAACCCTTTAGAACCGCGACTGTTTCGCTTCTAGGAACAACAACCATGTCGCCCCTATCTATCGGATCAACAAGCGACAACTCTAAATCTTCATCATCAAAGAAACCACCTTCTGTGTTAGGCCATTCCTTCTCAGAATCTCAAGAAGACGAAGACATAGGACTAGGAGAAGAGTTATTCAAAGAAATCCGATAGGACCATAAGAGTCTTCTGGAAATTTGATCTTAAATAATCTTCCATTGATCATCAGATTGTGCATTGTGCTGATCATTACATCATACGAAATTCTGACCATGATTCTTCCAATATCCATGTTAGTTGCCTTTAGAGTATTATCGTCGCTACACATGTATGTCCCAACTAAGTTCGCCACCTTCTCAAAAAATAAAAAGTTTCAGGCATGACATGGAATACCATGCACCTTAATCTAAGTTACTTTTTTCGTATCTACGTCTTCTTCCTTCCATTATCTAATAACAGAGTACCAATGGCTCCATCAACTTTCTCCTTCCTTGATCAAGTCTCTTATAGCTCATTTGTCAGACTCCTCCAAGGGACAAAGGTTGGCTCCAAGAGGGGTCACTTTGATAGAGAAATACCCTTCCATTTCAAAGCTAGTTTTTATATTATAGGCCATACCTGGAATGCAGATAACACCGACAAAAGATTTCTTGAGACTCACATAATCATCCGTAACTGCAGAGAATTGAAAAGCAATTGTAGAATGTTCCACTGTCTCAGAAAAGTGCCTACTAGAGTTCTTCACAACCTAAGCAAAGGATCTAGAGCCGAACCTACGATCATTCCAAGATTTCCTCCTAAGAGATTGTGTAGTAGGAAAAGCGTGATTGGATTTTGACCCGACACCATCTCTAACGTTTCGTGCTGCCTCTTCACTTCTACCAAAATACGAAGAATTTGCGTGAATCTTCTTTCCATCTATTATAACATTGTTCATTTTCACTACGAGAAGCCTATCATCTACCACCTCCGTGAACCTTGTGAAACCGAATCTCTTTTCTATCTTATTTCTCTACGACAAAATCACCACCTCCACCACCTCTCCGATGCACCCAAAAATCTCAAACAAATCAGAAGTTTTTATTCTATCTGGAATTTCTGAGAAAAAGATAAAGGAAAATTTTTTATTCTCCCATGCAAATGCCCTGCCACCAACTGGGAAGATATCTCATTTTGGTTCTAAGTGTCTAAAACCATTCCTCTTTACTTTGGACCACTCCATAACACCTATGGAAAAACGATTGAGCAATAGGTTCTTCTAGAGAGAAGGCAGAACCTCTCTCTCTAAATTTAACTGATGAAGACAAATTATTGAATAAAAAATAAAAAGAAAGAGACATAAAATCTAATCCATAAAAAAATAATTGGACATGTCTAATCTATCTCTAAATTTTTTTTCAAAAACAAATAAAAAATGAATTCATCCAAGTGTTGTAATCGACAAAAATATCTGCATAGACTAATCGATCTTTACATGAATTTTTCTCTTTAAAAATGTGAGACATCCTGAATCTAAAAGAATGTATAGTGTGTAAAGTATTTTTCCATTTAATTAAAAGATGCAAAGAGGTAATATTCACATTAAAAAATCCATGAATAAATAACACTGAGCCAATTTCAAGGTAACAATTTCTCTGATTCTCCCTGTTAGCATATTCGATAACAAGTATGATTTAATGCATTTCAACTTGAAAAGATGTGAAATTCTAATCTTATCTGAGAAAGCCCTTGAGAATCTTCTTAAATCATCTCTAATTATGTAACCATAAAGTGATATTCTAGGATTTTTCTTTTGAAGTTTCATCTATGTCGCACTTAATCTAATTATGACTAGGAAATCACTAATTAACTTGTATGATTCTAGGTGTAGGAGGAGGTCGATGTCAAAGCATTTAATAATTATAAACTCATGAATTAAAAAGTACATGTTCCCTTTGAAATAAATAGATGTCATATATACCAATTGTTTAATATGAAAAATGTCTATATCAAAGTCAATTTTATCATTTTGAAACTTGATATCATTTTTTGTGTTCCAAATTTTCCAAAGAATTATTATGAAGAAAGTCTTGATCAGATCTTGCATTTGAGAGCTCAAACTTCTAACAACAAATTTGTGGAACCTCATCTTATTATTATGATCACAAACAAGTTCTCTCAAGTAGTAAA